AGTCTTTTTGCACAGATAAGTTTTATTTACATGTTATAGTGGCTGTTAATATGAAAAAGAACATTTACAGTTTATTTACACCATCTTTAAGGCATTATGGGGAAAATAAACTGTACAATAAAGTAAAATAAAAGATAAATGAATTTACAATAAAATACAACTGAAAGCAACAATAAAGTTAAAGTGTTTTTTTGTGGAATAATTTCTCCCATTAGTTTAATCTGAAGCAGAATAATAGTGTTAGGAATGACAACATCCTGCAGAGAATTCTGGGTAATGACAATAAATGAGCATCTTCATCATCTGAAACACTGATTAAAAACCTGAACTGGTCTTGGTTTGGATCTTACTCTTAACTGGTTTCAGTTACATGTATGGGTGAGAAGGAGAATTTAAAGCACTTTATTGTTTTCAGACAAACAGAACTGTGTTGCTGATTTCATTTGAATTAAAATCAACTAATTTTGGATGTTTAGGATCAGTATTTTTAACATAAACCAAAATCTAGAGAAATATTTACTGATATTATTTGGTTTGTTTGATCCTCGTGACATACAAAACAAAAACAGCCATTGTCGGGGGACTATTTTTTTTTATCAACTCTAAGAGCAGCTGAATTAGTGCGTCTACAATAAAATACAAAACAAAGTGCTAGAGATTCATCCCAACCCAAATGTGTTGAGTTTTAAAGTCTCACAGAAGAGCTGTATAAAGAACGTGGACATTATTAAACCAATTAACCTGTTTCCAGTTTTTTACTGCCAAGTGCCTTGGTAGTTTTATTTTGAAAATAACAGAATACTTCCTTCACTAAACCCTTAAATAACAAACAAGAACATTAGTGTACAACAACAGCTCGCTTGCAGTTTACCTTTCAGATTATTATAAATAACAAACAACGGTTTCATAAATGTGAACTTCATTTGATAAATACAGTTTATCACCTAAAATATCCAGATTTAACAAACACTTTTTACTGGAGGAGTGGAGAGGAACGCACATGAGAAGATGGTCATTAAGGAAATAAATGCTTCATCACTTCATACACCTTTTGGTGCCAAAGTTTTTATTTTATTTTACTGATCTGTTTGATAAGGGGATATTTTGAGCACCTTCAAGTTGAGTTTTGGGCACAATAATATAATAATAATATGTAACCTGCAGGAGAGAGCTCTTTGAACAAACTCAGTCTGGAGTAATAGTTTAATTCTAGTCTGATGAGCTAATGGCTAGTCAGAGCAGGACAGAGACTGGAGTGGACTGTCTCTAAACCGTCATGGTAGTTTATAAAAACAGTTTGAATCACTTTTATTCCATTAATGTTGCAGCAGTTAGCTGTAGCACTTCCTGCAGACACAGAACATTTCTGCTGAGCAACAGCATTCACTGTGAAACATAGAACTGTTTAAAGAATAGTATCCACATGAAATATGAAAATGTTTCAAATCAGCAAAGTTTGCACTGCAGCTGGCTCCATTCTGACTCACTGTTGGTTCATGTGAGGCTGAGTGGGACCAACTCCAACGCAGATTTACTGTAGTTCTCATTAAACACGTCCCGTTTCAAAAAGCATATTGTGTGTTATGCTCTGCAGGAAGCTGCCCCCAGGCTGCACAGGTTCTACTGCAGCTAGCTGCAGTGATAACTGTGTGCGACAAAACAACGTTTACAAGATTTCCATCTCAGAATCAAACTGACAAATCAAACGGGTAAGTTTTTTTATTGTAAGTAGCGTTTTCACAGAATCCCACTTCTAAATGTCTGAACTATTAAATACTGTAGAGCTATAGAATCAAGCAGCAATCATTTTACTTAAGACAAAAATGAAACATCTTTCACCGTTTACATAAATTGGGCTCTTCCTGTTCCCCTCCTCAGCGTCGCTCATCTCCTCTAAAGAGTTTCCTGCTTTAAACAGCAGAGAAAACAGTTTGTGGAGCTGCGACAACTCGTTCTGCAGCTGAGTGACGATTCAACAGTTTGGAAACTGAAGGTTGATTGTGTCTGTAAATGAAAACTGACGGTAACGTCTGTTCCACCGTTCCCTCTGATCAGCACCACTGCTGCTCGTCGTCACAAGAAGATCAGCAGAGGTGCTGCTGCTCGTCATCACAAGAAGATCAGCAGAGGTGCTGCTGCTCGTCATCACAAGAAGATCAGCAGAGGTGCTGCTGCTTGTCATCACAAGAAGATCAGCAGAGGTGCTGCTGATCGTCACCACAGTAAGACCAGCAGAGGTGCTGCTGATCGTCGTCGCAGTAAGACCAGTTTTCAGCTCGTCAACTCCAAAACTCATTTGCAAACGTTTGATTTACTTTTAGGATAGTTTTGTAGTTAAATGTACTTGTTCTGAATGAACTCATTAGGACTCGGTGATATTTTTGTTTGAAGAAACATCTAAATAATTAGTCAAAGTTTTCTCTCGTGCTCTTGGTTCTGTAGATGCTGCAACTAAAAATGTTTAAGGACATGAACAATTGAACAATTCCCTCCTACAATTTGACCTAATAAAGCTATTTTTTCCCTAAATATTTGTCTGATTCATCAGTGGAAATTTCTTTAATCTAGCAAAAAAATCCTTAAGTATCAAATAAAGCTTTGCCCATTTGTTCAAAAATACCTTAAAGAAAACCAAATGATGCAAACATCCTTTAAAGGCTTTTACAAAGTTTGGGCTGAATGTTCAGATTATTAAATGAGTTGTTGTTGTGGCATTTGAGACATAATTTACAGATGAGCTGTCGTTTTTAGTGGCTGAAATGACTTCACCTACAGAACTCACTCAGTGTAAAACTGGACCTAAATTTAAATAAATTCTTGATTAAATCAACTTTTTGTTGTTGTTCAGTTCATGACAGTAATTATCAGCACCAGTAACATTTGGATTATTGATAAAAGATCAGAAAGCAGAAGTTTAATGTGACGTTTGGTCTGAAAACTGTTTTGTGCACCACCCGTTGTCAGGGGATCCTTCTTTTAAAGAACATTTAGTTTTAAAGCATCAAAAGTGATTCACAATGTTCAGCAATCAAAGAAGTTCAAGCTATCTGCTGATGATTCAGGTGAAAACAGGAATGATTTCAACCACCCAGGTTCAAGCAGCTTTCATTATTAGTTATTTAAAACTTAGTTCAGGCATTGTGTAGTGGGGTTCTGTGGAAAAGATGTAAACAATGTCTTACCTGTTGTAGATCGCTCTTTAAATGACTTTAGAGAAAGTTTCATTTGGACCAGCTTAACAGAGCAAAGCCAAGTCTAGAGTGGATTGCAGCCATCTTAAAAGGACTCCAGTTTTCCAAAATGTTAAAATATTTGCATCAGCGTTTCCAAAACTTTCTATTTCAATCACAAAATGACAGATCTGACCCCCAACTGTTGCCGGTTTAGTTTACAAATCTTGCCTTTTACTTGGCAATTAAACAGAAGGACAACACAATCATTGAAAAAAACCTATGAAACGTTTTCCATTCATAATTCCTAATCTTTATAAATATATTAAATAAAGGATTACCATACTCGCAACTATTTTTAGGCTTAATTTATATTCTAGAGATTGTCTCAAGACCCCACACCCGACATGAGCCACAGTGGAGTCAGGACCACGGCTTTAGATCACCAGCAGTACTCGCAAACAGCAACTAGCTGAAGTAATTAGCTGAAGTAACTAGCTGAAGTAACTAGCTGAAGTAATTAGCTGAAGTAGCTAGCTGAAGTAACTAGCTGAAGCAACTAGCTGAAGTAATTAGCTGAAGTAGCTAGCTTAAGCATCTAGCTGAAGCAATTAGCATTTGTGGCAGAACAACAGTACAATGTAAAATCACCAGTGATTTATAAAACAGTATTAAAAAAACAAAACAGTATGAAATATTATGAGACTGAATTTCTTTTAAGAAGACAGAAATGTGCTCAGAACTCAGCTCTGGATCTTGTGGACGAGCTGAAGCCACAGTCTCACTGGGTTACGACTGCTGGTGGGCAGCAAGTCTCCAGAATGTCTCCAAACATTATTTAGGTTTAGGTTTATAAGAGCGTTTTAACTGAAAGTTCAGCGCTTGAAGCTGTTTTACGATGGCAGAATTGACCTTGGTCCTTGCTCCGTTCAGACTTGTCAGTCCTCCAAGAATTAAACACCATTTTTCTAAACTGAGTTTGTTCAAAAAGTTATCTACAAGTCATACAACCTTTCTCAGACATCCCACTTCAAAAGGTCTGAACTGTCCCTTTAATATGAAAACACTTTCTGCAGCGACGTTCTAAAAGCTTCATTCTGCACCGTAAACGTTCAGTCAAAGTTTCTTCACTCGTCCACTTTTAATGGCGGTTGTTGTTCTTCAGATTCATTGCTGCGTGAATAAAGTGCTCGAAGAGGACAAACACTGATACACGCACAGAAACAACCAAAACTTGGCTCAGTGATGTCCAAACTATTTGTTTTCTTATTTACTTCAGATCTAAATTCTTCCTCGATGACTTTAAATAATAATATGCACGTAAAACACCTACTTGGACATCTATAAACTTCTGGAACATTACCCTTCCCTACAGACTCAGTATTTCTTTAGATTCAAAGTTTTTCTTCTCCAGCAGCTGAAGATTTAAAAAAAAAAAGCCAAATTAACCAGCTACAGATCCAGAGTCCTGGTTTCAGAAATACAGCAAATGAAGAGAATCCACATGAAGAATGAAACCACTGAGATCTTTTCTGAAGCCTTTAGAAAATCGTTAGCACCTACGGTTAAACCAGCAGTCTCTGTAGAAGGATACGGGGCCTGATGCTCGTGTTAGTGACCTCCCAACATGGAGGCAAGACTCTCAGCCAGCAGAGAGGAAATGACATGTAGAGATCATCTAACTGCCACGATTAATGTCTCTGGTCCCAGAACCTGCTGCTTGTCAACAAATAAGCACTTGGCCTGCAGGAAGTTTGGCTTGTTTCAGGCAGAGGAGCGTTCACTTCACAGCGGGGCATTTAACAGAGTTAGCATCTGGATTAGCCAGCATTAGCTTCTTAAAGCTGGGCTGCCAGTTTTCTCCAATTCTTTATTGTTTCCATCTTTCATCAAAGCAGAAAACACCTGAAAGCAATCAGATAGGACACATTAAACATCAGAATACACAGCTCACATACTCAATGATTTACTGTTTTATACCAGACTCATGCTTATACAACGTATACAATGGTTTTTAAAAACAAACTGGGCGCACAAGTTTAAATATATTGTGGATCTTCTCGGATCCACACAGTGTCATAATTATACAGACAGGTTTAATAATTTACATACATTCACCTAAATCTGTTAATAAACGGTTCTGAAGGTTCATAAAGATCTTTTAAACTGACAAACTTATTAACGTCTCCTTAGTAATAATAACTGACTGTGACTGGTAGTTTATCTTACTACGGTAATTTGTTTGAACAGTTTCTACAAGAAGACAGACCTCAAACCAACGACTTGGTCACCATTACTAACTAGACCATCACTAAAAAATAACTAATGTGTATTAACAAACACCAAGCTGAGTTCAAATACTTTAACCAAACACCCAAACACAAAAAAGGCAACTGGTGAGACTAAATTGCAGCTGCGCTGAGATCAGTGATCAAATATCAGAATGGATGCAAAATAAAAATACCAGTAGGTCCATCCATCCATCCATCCATCCATCCATCCATCCATCCATCCATCCATCCACCCATCCATCCACCCACCCATCCATCCATCCACCCACCCACCCATCCATCCATCCACCCACCCATCCATCCATCCACCCACCCACCCACCCATCCATCCATCCATCCATCCATCCATCCACCCATCCATCCACCCACCCATCCATCCACCCACCCATCCATCCACCCACCCATCCATCCATGCATGCATGCATTCATGCATGCATCCATCCATCTGTGCATCCATCCATCTGTGCATCCATCCATCCATCCATCCATCCGTCCATCTGTACATCAATCCATCCATCCATTTGTGCATCCATCAATCTGTGCATCCATCCATTTATCTGTGCATCCATGCATTCATCCATCCATACATCCATCCAATCATGCATACATCCATCCATGCATGCATGCATCCATTCATCCACCCACCCACCCACCCATCCATCGATCCATCTGTGCATTCATCCATCCATCCATGCATCCATCCATCCATACATACATCTGTGCATCCATCCATACATACATCTGTGCATCCATCCATCCATCTGTGCATCTGTGCATCCACCCTTGCATTCATCCATCCATCCATCTATGCATTCATCAATCCAACCATGCATCCATCCATTATCTTCACCCACTTCTTCCATTTCGGTTTGTGGGGGTCACTGGTGCCCATATCCAGCTATCAATGTGCGAGAGACTTGCTAAAGAGATGTTTCATCAAATATTAGCCAACATGTATGGATATATTTCAGAGTCAGAGATTCTTTATTGTCATTCATGTGGTACATGTGGTGGAGCGAAATCATGTTATATTTGAGCCTGTGTGTATAATTTTAACCCTGTGTGGATTAGAAAAAAATTACAATAAATTACAACTTGTTCACCCAATTCGTATTTTTAAAAAGATTGAAATTATATTTTGCAAAATGTTTCCAGCATGCAAAAGAACAGTTCAAATAAATCCCTATAAGCCATCAGAGACTTTGTAAAGTGATATCACTGACTTGAGCCCAGCGGCGGTTCCTGCTGATCATGTGAGTGTTGGCCATAGAGCTGAAGAGTGTCTGGGGCTGCAGGTCCTCAGGGAGGCGGGTGAGGAACTGAGCAATGTGGATGAAGTCCATCTGCATCAGGACGTCCTCGTACAGACGCAGGATGCCCAGCCCCGTCCGAAACAAACTCTCCTCCCCGTCTCGGCAGAAGACGTCCCAGACTCGACACGCCACATCCAGAGGGAGTGACTTACTGTACAGAGTGAAGATCCTGAACAAGGGAAAAACACTTTAGATTAGGAAAATAAATAAATGAAAAAAATAAAAATAAAACCCAAACCCTTAAGATAAATTAGTTTTAAATATAATCTCAGGAAAAAAACCTGTCAACTCAAATTTGGAAAAAGTAGTAGAACTGTAGTGAGCAGTCATGGCTAAAAAGCAAAAGATAAATTGGCATATTTTTTGTTTCTTTTTAGGTAAAATAATAATTTTGCTGTGTTGCTATTTTTGCTGAAATAAAAATTAAAACCATTTTTATATTGGTGCCACCACTGAAAACTGCCATGATGAAACATCTTAGAAAACCCACCCTTGGCCTGGACATTCTTAAAAGCTATAGACCCATAGCTAATCTTCCATTCCTCTCAGTTGCTAAGGAAAAAGGTGTTGTTGCACATCTAAATGACCAACTCGTATCAAATCAGCTGTTTTGAAAAGTTTCAGTCCGGGTTCTGCACACTCCACCTAAACGGCTTTGATTCAGGTCACCAATGACCAGATGATGGCAGCAGATGCCGGTTCACCTTTTCTTCTTATCCTTCTTGATCTACCTTCAGCATCAGACACCAATGATCACAACATTCTCCTCAACAGCCTCTTTTGTTCTATTGAGCTTTGTGATACTGCTCTGGACTGGTTCCAGTCCTATCTTTCAAATAGAATAGAATATGTTACCATTGGAGGAGCCAAGTCAAAGTCGAAGACCACGAGGGGGGGATGTGTCAGGAAGCAAAGGGAGAAGAGGAAATTCAAGAATGTAGGACTGAGGGTTGCAACTCTAAATGTGGGGACAATGACAGGCAAAGGTAAAGAGCTGGCTGACATGATGCAGAGAAGGAAGGTAGATGTTTTATGTGTTCAAGAGACCAAATGGAAGGGCAGCAAGGCTCGCAACATTGGAGCAGGGTTCAAACTGTTTTACCATCGTGTGGATAGAAAGAGAAATGGAGTAGAGGTGGTCCTGAAAGAGGAGTTGGCAAAGAATGTAGTAGAGGTGAAAAGAGAGTCCGACAGGGTGATGTGGCTGAAAGTAGAAGTAGAAGGTCTGATGCTAAATGTTGCCTGTGGTTTTGCTCCACAGGTTGGATGTGATGTGGAGGAGAAAGATAAATTGTGGAAAGATCTGGATGAAGTGATGGGAGTATTCCCAGGGAGGAGAGAGTGGTGATCAGAGTAGACCTGAATGGACATGTTGGTGAAGGAAACGGAGAGGATGAGGTAGTGATGGGTATCAAAGTGTATGCTTAATAATCCAGGAACAAAATCCAATAATAGTCAGTCAGGTCATCTGGACAGATTCTTTTTTTTTGTGAAAAGATGTTTCGCCCTCTATCCAGAGGGCTTCATCAGTCAGCAATGGGGGGTGGTTTGCTCATTTTGAAATCCACGACCGTCTCCTTCGTCTTCTTTACATTGATGTGGAAGTTGTTCTTACTGCACAAGCTCTCCAGGTTATATGTGAGCAGAGTGAACAGGAGGTGGCTCCACACACAGCCCTGAGGGGAGCCAGTGCTGAGGATTATGGTAGAGGAGGAAAAGTTGTGGATCCTCACAGATTGTGGACTGTTGGTTAAGAAATCCAGAATTCAGTTGCATAGGGAGGGGCTTAGTCCTAGTCCTCTCCTGTCCTCTCAAACCCAGCTGTTTGAAGCAGATGGCCGCTTGTCCTGAGCCTGGTTCTGCTGGAGGTTTCTTTCTGCTGGAGGGAGATTTTCCTTTCCACTGTTGCCTTTGTGCTTGCTCAGGATGGGAGACTGTGATAAAGTGACAATTCAGCACAATCTGCTGCTTTCTTAGATAGATAACTTTTACTAATTGATTTTTATGTATGTGAATGTTTCTGTTCAGTGCCCTGAGACGACTTCTGTTGTGACTTGGAGCTATAGAAATAAACTGAACCTTTTCTGGTCAGAATAATACATTCTCCTGTTGTCACCAGTCCTGGTGTGTCTGTTTGATCCTCACCTTTCTTTAGACTCCGATGTCAAGCACCTAGGTAAAACCTCATTTTTTCATCCAAAAAAAATTGCAAGCTCGTCATCATCATCTCAGCTTGATGCTGAAAACCTCATCCATCCGTTTGTTTCTTCATGGCTGCATTATTGCAATTCAATTCTTTTTGGCATCTCAAATAAAAACCTTCAAAAGTTCCAGTTCATCAATAATAGACTGTTCACATAAAAATAAATGAATATTAGTTGTCTCTGTTCCAGCAACTCATCCAATTTTCAAATTCCCAGAACTAAGCTCATCACCTTGGGAGACCAAGGCTTTTGCTCAGCTGCACAACAAAAAGGAATACACTTGCAAACCACCTGAGGGCACCACAGACTGCATCCTTCAAAAACAGATTTAAAAACTGCTGATTTGTTTTTATTACCATGTTTTTAGTGACTTTTATTGTTATTGTTAATTAGTTTTGTTTTCATGATTCTGAAAATGTAGAACTTTGAGATTTATGAATGTAAAGTGCTCTACAAATGTTATGCTTTATTATTATTATTATTATTACTACCTTTGTATACAACGTGATGATTCTGTTCAACGGACTTAAATTTTGTTC